CACGGTCCTGTCATACTAAACCCACAAGAGTAAAATCAGTCTGTATATGCAGTAAAGCATGCTTGTTATAATCACTGTGGACTTAACCCAATCCATATCCTGATGAGACAGAGCCTTTGGAGTCACTCTTCAGTATGCTCAATTTGGTGTGTATTGCTAGAGAGTTTTTTCTTCGGAGGGTGCATGTGATCAGCACAGGGACAATCAGCACTGTTCAGACAGAGGGTCGAGGTCCTGGAGCCTTATAGGACAGCTAGAGTAGAATGAAAACTCCTCCTACAATCTTTAACCAGACACCGACAGAAGTCACAAGACTGCTATATACTGCTGAGGCACAGCCCCACTGCATGGTCAAAAAAACGTTTTGCCTGGATTTCTGCTTTAAATGGAAAATCATAACATTTCCCTGTTTGGTCGTATAATGTTAAAATGGCTCTCTTGCCCAAATTCCTATATCTTTTTGAGATGTTATCCATTCCTGTCCACATCTTAAAAAACTTCAAACTGACTTGTGAATTTTTTCTGAAACTATAAATGACATAGGATCACTAGATCCATCCTCTAAGCTCCCCAGGACCAAGGAGGCCTTGCATTCCCACATGTTGCCAAGTACTACATGGTGGCCCAGCAATGCTCTGTAGCCTCCTGATATACCCTCCATGCCGATAACCGGTGGACTGAGGTTCAGAAACTGTGGCTGGCTCCTGTCCATCCGAAATCCATGTTGTGGAGTAGTGATCCCCTGATCGATACATCCCAGCTGCTGGGGCCCATGTCTCTCTTGCGAACTCTATGGCAATGTGCCAAACAGTCCTACTCCCTCACCTCTGATGCTTCTTTGACTTTATTTTAATGCCCAATATCTCGGACAGCTTGACCTTGCAGATGTCACACTTTTGGCAGGAAAGCACCTTGTTCTTTTTAGTCAGCTGGTGGATGCTAGAACTAGAGTATTACGCACCTTCCAAGGCCTACACGAGGCTTACAACCTCCCTAGACATGCTTTTTCCGCTATCTACAAATACATCACTACGCGCTATCCTGTACAAACACCCTCCAATTCTCTAAATCGATAGGATTTGAAAGAATCTGTTTAGAATCTCCATCCTCCAAGGGCATGATCTCTTGAATTTATAAAGTCCTTATATCGGTCTCTGCATCACTTACGGTCCAGTATGCTTATATAAGAAAGTGGGAGCGGGCGCAGGGGAAAAAGCTGAAGATGTGGCAACTCATTTGTTCCCAGGCGTCCAAAAGCTCCATATGTGCCATGTATAAGGAAAACCAGTGCATGATCCTTTTTTACTGGTATTGAACAATCATTAGCCCTCTTCTGACTGCAGTTGCTGGCAAAAATAAAACTGGTGTACTGTACCATATTTACTGGTCTTGCCCATTAATTGTCCCTTACTGGAGGAGTCCACATTCTTGTATATTCCATCTTTGGATCCTGGATTCCTTTTGACCCTAAAACCTTTATTTTGGGGCTCCCCTCCAACCATTTTCTAAAACCTCTAAAAAACTCCTTGCACATCAGCTGACAGATGCAAGGTGCTTGGTTTCTCCTAAATGGAAGCAACGGGAGCCCCTCTCCTTGGTTGAATTGCATACCAGGATTCGAGATGTGAAGAGGATGGAGTATATGACTGTCTCCCTGAACAATTCTTTAAACACTCACAACAGGGTTTTGGAACTGTGGGACCGTTTGGAAACTCCCCCTACCTGACATGTCCTGGGTTTCCATGGGCTGGCTAGGGGGATGGCTTTTTATTTTGGCTAGACTCTGTAGACAGTGAAGTTTTCCCCATCCATATTCCCGATCTTTTTTTCTCTTCTACTTTTGCCCCAGTGTACTCCAATACTTTTCTTATGCATTTGGTAGTGTGACTTTTGGTTGGCAGCTGCATACCTCCCTACAGCTATGACATTCTGATGACTACATACCCCCTGCATCCAGTTACCTTTCAATATACTGAGTGACTTGGTTAGCGGTCGGTGTACTGGAAATGTCCACACTTTTGCTACTTAAATGTCCTGTACTTTTCTTCATGTATGTTGAAAAATATTAATAAAATTGTTAGTTCTTAAGATTATTAAAGCCTATATGATATTTTAGTGATTCGGTTTACATCATAACTAGAGTGCAGTTGCAGAAATAACCAGGATCTGAAAATATTGCCAACAGGGATTACAAAACAGACTGAAGAGAATTATAAAATTCCTTGTCAGGCAAAACAATTTTCATATACTGTAATTATTGTAACTGTGTATTTAGCAAAGTTCAACATTAAAGCACTTTTGTCACTGGGCCAAGCCATTATTTTGCTATTCTGCACTGTGCTACTTTAACTGGTAATTGCTTGGACATGGTATCCAAATGAAACTTATATTTTTTTTTTCACTTAAATAGAGCTTTCCTTTGGTGGTATTTGATGACCACTGGGGTTTTAATTTTTATATATAAAAGAAAATAGTTTCTTTACAAAATTTAGCAAAATAAGCATAAAAAACAAAAATGTATAGTCCAATGTGAGAGTCCCATACACCAACCAATCTTTGTGCAATCCTCAATTGATATATTAATTCTTGTCAGAACAACATTATGACTTTCTTCAGCGTGAACAAACACCACTGTGCCCTTCACCACACCTCATGGCCATCTCCTCACCTTATATCATGACATACTGCAAAAGGAGGGTCAATTGCACTTTTATATTAGAGATCACAATCTTCTTCAGCATTCACCTCCAATCTCCCAGGAATAGATACAGGGAAGGAAATAAGTATTTGATCCCCTGCTGATTTTGAATGTTTGCCCACTCACAAAGAAATGATCAGTCTAAAAATCGAATGGTAGGTGTATTGAAACACAGAGACAGAATAGCAACAAAAAAGTTCAAAAGAAATGCATGTCTAACAAATTATGCATTGATTTGCATGTTCATGAGGAAAATTAGTATTTTATCCCCTATCATTCAGCAGGATTTCTGGCTACCAGGTGTCTTTCATATAGTAACAAGCTGAGATTAGAAGCAGTCTCGTAAAGGGAGTGCTACTAATCTCATTTTGTTACCTGTATAAAAGACACCTGTCCACAGGAGCAATCAAACAATCAGATTACAAACTCTCCACCATGGAAAAGACAAAAGAGCTGTCCATGGATGGCAGGGACAAGATTGTAGACATACACAAGGCTGGACTGGGCTACAAAACTATCGCCAAGCAGCTTGGTGAGAAGGTGACAACAGTTGGTGCAATCATTCACAAATGGAAAAAAACACAAAACTGTCAGTTACCCTAGGTCTGGTGCACCATGAAAGATCTCTCCTCGTGGAGTATCAACGATCATGAGAACAGTGAGGAATCATCAAAGAACTACACGTGAGGATCTTGTCAATGATCTCCAGGGAGCTGGGACCACAGTCACCAAGAAAACAATTGGTAACACTCTACGCCAACAAGGATTGAAGTGCCCGCAAGGTCCCTCTGCTCAAGAAAGCACATGTTCAGGCCCGTCTGAAGTTTGCCACTGAACATCTGAATGATGCAGAGAAGGACTGATTGAAAGTGTTGTGGTCAAATGAGACCAAAATCGAGCTCTTTTTCATCAACTCAACTCGCCGTGTTTGGAGGAGGAGGAATGCTGCCTATGACCCCAAGAACACCAACTGTCAAACATGGTGGTGGAAACATTCTGCTTTGGGGGTGTTTTTCTGCTAAGGGGACAGGACAACTGCACTGCATCAAAGGGACAATGGACGGGGCAATGTACCGTCAACTCTTGGATGAGAACCTTATTCCCTCAGCCAGGGCATTGAAAAAGGGTCGTGGATGGGTGTTCCAGCATGACAATGACCCAAAACACACGGCCAAGGCAACAAAGGAGTGGCTCAAGAAGAAGCACATTAAGATCTTGGAGTGGCCTAGCCAGTCTCCAGACCTTAATCCGACTGAAAATCTGTGGAGGGAGCTGAAAGTTTGAGTTGCCAAACGTCATACACCTACCATTCGATTTTTAGACTGATCATTTCTTTGTGAGTGGGCAAACATTCAAACTCAGCAGGGGATCAAATACTTATTTCCTTCACTATATTAATAGGAAGCAAGGAAACATCTAATAGTGCAGTCTGCTAGTTTATTTCCATAATAAAGTTAAAATTCTACTCACATGTTAAAAGTTTATAGAGGCATGTCACAGGCTTTCCAAAATGGCATCTAAGCTTCACCCAACGTGATGAGGTCACTGCCCGCCTGTATCACCAGTATTTGATTTTGATTCATTAACACAGTGGAGTGATGGCACAGTTGGTTGGGAGCTGCTTTCCTAAGTTGGCATAATTTGAGTTAATTTTTATTATTTTTAGTTGTGAGTACTAATGCTCCATGCACACAGGGCATTTTAATAAAGCTGGTAACGTGAGCTATGTAATGTCACGTTATAACTTAAGTTTTGCAGCATTTTTTAGTGTTTTTGCATTAGTGTTTTGCCATGTTTTTTTTTGCGTTTGCATTTTTTCATTTTTTTTTTTTACAAAAAAAAAGTCAAAAAATGCAGATTTGCTGCGATTTACAGTGTTTTACCACGTTTTTCAGTGTTATGGCGTTTTTCCAGCTAAAAAACTCCTCTACAAACCCACTAGCTCTGGGGGGTTTTTTCCAGCCAAAAAACGTTGATTAGAGTCTGTGTGGACGGACACATAGGATAACAAGCTGGGGAGTTTACTGGCTGTAGAAAAAAAACGTTCAAAGCCAAAAACAGCTGCTGTAAAAAAGTCCAGTGTGCATGAGGACTAACAGCGTAGGGTTTTTCTATTTTTATTTAGGCCATAATGTATTCTGTCTTTTGGTAAAAAAATCCCAGTAAGTACCGCATTTTTCACTCCATAAGACGCACCTGACAATAAGACACGCCTAGAGGAGAAAAACAAGAAAAAAAATATTCTGAACCAATGGACTGCAGACACAGTACAGGAGATGACCAGAGACTGCGGACACAGTACAGGAGATGACCAGAGACTGCGGACACAGTACAGGAGATGACCAGAGACTGCGGACACAGTACAGGAGATGACCAGAGACTGCGGACACAGTACAGGAGATGACCAGAGACTGTGGACATAGTACAGGAGATGACCAGAGACTGCAGTCATAGTACAGGAGATGACCAAAGACTGCAGTCATAGTACAGGAGATGACCAAAGACTGCAGTCATAGTACAGGAGATGACCAGAGACAGCGGACACAGTACAGGAGATGACCAGAGACTGCGGACACAGTACAGGAGATGACCAGAGACTGCGGACACAGTACAGGAGATGACCTGAGACTGCGGACATAGTACAGGAGATGACCAGAGACTGCGGACACAGTACAGGAGATGACCAGAGACTGCGGACAGTACAGGGGATGACCAGAGACTGCGGACAGTACAGGGAATGACCAGAGACTGTGGAAAGTACAGGGGATGACCAGAGACTGCAGACAGTACAGGGGATGACCAGAGACTGCAGACCGTACAGGGGGATGACCAATGACTGCAGACAGTACAGGGGATGACCACAGACTGTGAACCTTTGGGGAGGGAGGGGGAGCGGGTACCTGAATTTCACAGGTACCCGCTCCCACTTCCGCGGAGTTGTCCTCCTTTTAGTGTGGGCACCCGGCTGTGATAGCTGGGTGCCCACTGCGCATGCGAGAGAAGCGCTGCACTTTGTGAATGGTCCGGCGTCTTCTGGGACAGATGATCATTCACAAAGTGCAGCGCTTCCCGCGCATGCACAGTGGGCACCCGGCTGTCACAGCCGGGTGCCCACACTAAAGATGTCGGCGCTGGAAGACTGTACAGCGCTGGACCGAGGAACAGGCAGAGAAGAGCTGAGCGGCCGGCCTGGTATTCTGACACGGCGTCGGCGGTGGAAATACCGGACCGGCCGCTCCATATTCGCTCCATAAGAAGCACTGACATTTCCCCCCCTTTTTTGGGGGGAAAAAGTGTGTATTATGGAGCGAAAAATACGGTATATATTGATTGGTTTGTGTGAAAGTTATAGCATCTACAAACTATGGTATATATGCTGGAATTATTTTTTTTTTTTTTTAGACTAATAATGGCAGTGTTCAGCGACTTATTGTGGGACTGTGATAGTGTGCTGGGCAATCTCACACTAACTGAAGCTGGCTGGGAGGTACAATAACTGACACTGACATCACCAGGGACATTAATACGGCATAATACTAAACACTGTTACCGTACTAATGACACTGGCTGGGGAGGGGTTAACATCTGAGGGTGATCAAAGAGTTAACTGCGTGCTTAACAATGTGTATAATCTGTGCTATTTTTTTCTAAATATCTGTTCCCTCTCCTTGCTTTGCAGAGAGAAGAAACAGGCGGATTGTTTCCTCTGTGCAGAACCCTGTGTTGTTTGTCAACACCAGGCTCTGGGCTGTGATTGGACAGAGGATGGGATGGGTGTGTTCAATAAAGACACAAGAAATTAGAATGGTTTGGTTGTTATCAGCTTAAGCACTTTGTGTTTGTCTATTGTTGCGATTTACTTGAGGATCAGATCACATTTTATGGCAAATTACTGCAGAAAACCAGTTAAAATATAACTAAAGGCCAAACTTTTTTTTTCCTTCATTTTGGAAGGAATGGGGATGGATTAGACCCCCTGTCGGGTTTTTATTGTTGTCTGTGCCCCCATTTAGGGAAATTCATCCTCTGTACTTGCTCTGTTTACTTAACATCAAAAGTGAAAGTAAAAGAAACGCAAATTTTTGGTTGTCCCCAGAGAAATAATAGAGGGAAAACTATCTAGTTATGGAGACCTGGGGGTCCCCAAGGAATTCCCCTAATTTGCAGGGAGTTTCTCACTTCCTGTTTGTCTATGGGACAGAAAGTGAAGGGAAATCTCCGCAATGGGACACAGATGGCAAAAAAATAAACTGATAGGTTATAACTTTCCTGTTACTCTATCCAAAATGGAAAAAAAAAGTGTTGCCTATAATTGTACTTCGAAGGGATTCACATGCTTGTACTTGCCACGGTATATGAGTCTCTACAACAAAGACTACATATACTTACAGTATTCAAGTAGTCTAAGAAATATATTGGTTTTATTTTAAGGTTTTAGCATTACCATTGTTCTTGTTCAGCTTTCAGTATGAGAAGCGACTACAAAGTCAATCACGCCTTGAAATCAACTGGGTTATCCTGAAAACATGAATCTTGCACAACTCCATTCTGACCTGATTACAAGTGAGGAATAATTCATAAATCTGCCAGGCTTTCTAAGTCCCCACATTTCTACTGTCCAAAAATATTCTGTTCACATCTGTGCATACAGAACGTTCCCCTCCTCTTCAGTCACAGAGCCATACACAATGGAACCTGCCAGGAACAGTGACAGTGATAAGTGGCCCCAGGCAGGATGTCACACAAATACCACGGAGAGGGAACATTGAACGTCAAGAAAGCAATGCAGAAAATCTTAGAGCGTTTCATGAAGATATACTCTTCCCTGTGTAATTACTCTGTTAAAGGCACAATCATAGTAAAGAAGATATAAACCCTAACTGAATAATATTTTGATTCCAATGCACTGTGTATAATACAGATTTTCCCATTTTTGTTTAGCCACTTGCCCTCCAGAGGATTTACCCCCCCCCCTCCTGACCAGGCCATCTTTTGCAATACAGCGCTGCGTTATTTTAACTGACAATTGCACGGTCCTGCAATGCTGAACCCAAATGTAATTTACATCCTTTTTTCCCCACAAATAGATAAAATAGAGTAAAATCAGTGAGCACTTTGAAATTAGCTGCTGAAACACACAAAGGTAACCAAATAAAACCTCCTCATAACTGATAATAAAAAAGTGCAGCACTAAAATATAAATAATGACACTTAAAAGGATAAAATAAAATAATGTGACAGTTCATGGTAAAGTGCTTGGTAAAGGGACTGATAATGACTCCAAACTTCAGTGGTGTTCCAGAAGTGTGGTAAAAATACACACTCACCAGATGCATTTTTTAAATATGCATGTAAATAATATAGCCAGAGGTCCCCCTCTCACGATGGGATGGATGGAATATGCAGTTTACGGGTTCTCCTCCCTCTGGGTGGTATATAGCTTTAAAGATGTCCTCCTTGGTGGGTGCAGATTGGATCCAGCCAGAGGCCTCCTTAATGGATGGATGGATGCTTGTCTGCCAATATTAATGGAAAGCTTCCTCCTCTGGATACATAAGATACTGCCACTCGGACCACTGCCACTGCATCATCCGGGATGGGCTCTACAAATGAATTTTAGCTTGCTAAGGAGCCAAACAGAAGATAGCCCATAGTGCAGTATTTGGTAAGAAGATAATTTATTAAATAAAGATTCCATGTGGTTAAAATATAAGATCAAACAAAGTGGAGAAGCAGTGACCATCCACAATAGACAGGTGGCCACCGGACCTGCATTAGGTTCCGGTGGCGTGACGTCACGGCGTACTGGCTCGTCCTTCGACGTGTTTCGTGCTAATGCACTTCCTCAGAAAGGATCGCCATTACTGCCATGCCGTGCATCAGATCTATAAATACTGTAAGCCTGCTTTCTTTCAGTGGTATTTGATCATCTGTGCGTTTTTTAATTTTTTGAGTTACAAACAAAAAAACACTGACAATTTGGAAAAAAAAAACCCTATATTTTTACTTTTTGCTATTAAACATGTCCATTAAAATGTTTTTTTAAAAATGAAATTTCGTTATAAATTTAGGTCAAAATATATTCTGTTACATGTCTTTGCTACAAGAAAATCCCAATACGTGTAAACTAATTGGTTTACGTGAACGTTTACAGCGTTTACAAATGGTGGTATAGATACTGGAATTTTGTCTTTTTTTTTTTTTTACTAGTAATGGCAGCGATCAATGATTTTTAGTGGGACTGCGGCGGTCATTCTGACAATGGGGGGGAACTGACTGTCACTGACACTGTACTAATGACACTGAGCAGGAAGGGGTTAACATCTGGGGAGATCAAAGGGTTAACTATGTGCTGTTTTACTATGTGGGCTGTGTGTGTTTCGCTGTAAGCACACTGCTTTGTATGGCTCTGCTATGCAGAAACATACAAAGCAGTGTGCAGGAGCTGACAGGGGTGAGATCTGTATTGTTTGCATACGGGTCTCTCCTCCGTCGGAAATCCTCGGAGATCGTCAGGTGCTGGCGGCTAATCACCGACCGGGACCCGTGACTGACAGCCAAGGCCACGAATGGCAGCGAAGGTAGGGTGCATGCGTGCGCCCAACCCAGAACTGAAAAATCACGTGTATATATACACAAGATTTTTGCACACCCGTGCCACCCTGTAGCAGTATTTCTGCTATAGGGTGGCGCAGAATCAGTTAATAAAATGCTTGTTTTTGCTGTTTCATCCTTTATTGCATTTCAGTGCTGCGGATCCCCTGCAGCCTCTTTGCAGCCACTTCGTGTCTACATGTATTTGCTCCAGCAATGATTGCATGGCATTTCCTGACAGTGAGAACAGTGTAACATGCTTAAAGGGGAACTAAAGTCTTTTTACTTACCTCCACTCTAACAGTATGAAGCCCAAATTAAAATAGTTCCTGGTGATCCTGCCATGAGAGTCCTTGTTACGATGCTCATGGTTAAAGGGTGGCAATACTCTGTCTTTTTACCAATTGCTCTTCTGCCTATCACCCTGTTACACATGCTCCTAATGGAGATTATAAGTGGCTGCACTGACACTTTGCACAGACCTGTCCTGCCATTGTCACTTCCAAGAACCCAGTCCTGAGAAACAAATCGGACTTTGGCTGGAGGAGGCCAGCAATGCTGAGATGCAAAAAACATGGCAGGTGTTTATGATGTACCTTGCTTTAAACTAAATGTCATCTATTTAGCGCTTTTTTAAACTTGATTTTACATTTAAAGCAGAACTAAACTTTTTTTAATCAACACTATTTTATATCCTTATGCTGCTAACATTAGTAAATAGATAGGCAGGTATATTAGGTTTTTTTGTTTTAAACTTTTTTTTTTCTACATTTCTTCAGTTGTTTCCTTGTTTCTGGCCAAAATTATATCATACAACCTGGGAATTTTCCTAGGAATTTTTTAGTTTCACCTGGAGGAGGGGTTACATGCCTGAGCTAAGGGCAGATGGATTCAAGGAAATAAATGCTACATGAATCATCTGCCCTTACTCAAGATGGTTAAAAATGCTAGGGTGTGTTTTTCAAAGTGGTATCACAACAAAATAAAGCACAGAGACATAGATGGATGGGTGTGTCTGCTCTGAATATTAAAAATGAATTAAAAGAAAAGTGTGGGATTTAAAAAAAATAAAAATTCATACTCACCTAGCTGGATGCAACATTGATCCAATGCTGGTTCTATCCCCTGCTGCCTCTACACTGAGCGATCAAAGGCTGCTGATTGTTCAGTTCTCAGGTCTGCTCTGAGGAGAGAGTGGTGGCTGTCAGTCACGGCTCACTGCTCGACCCCTCCAGCGCTCACTGGAGCTCCAGACTGTGGAGGGGGTGGGAACGGCGGGCTCAGGCTCTCAACAGCGTGCTGAGAGGTTAAGCCAGCTGTTGGCCAGGCATGAGGGCAGATCCCAACATTATTGTTGGGATCCCTGTAGAGCCTGGACTGGCTCTGTGATGTCAGGCTGAATCTGAGTCACAGGAGTACAGAAGTAAGTGCACTCCAATGACCCACATGAGAAGTATGGCCATAAGAGCATTTTGCATTTGCGATGTTCAGATAGTTTAGTTCTGCTTTAAATATATTGGGTGGCATGTTATGCACTGTCCATGGTGCTGAAGCCATTAGGTATTTTATGCTCATTTGTTTCTATTGAAAAAAAAATAAGAAAAACAGCTCATTAAATGAAATGCCTCTGCTAGGCTCCAGCAGACCAGGCATGTAATCTCGGCAAGAGCACTGCCCAATCATGAGATCAATCTTCATAACCAGTCACTCAAGGGTTTGAAGCATATGTTTATGAAAGCTGAGACTTGCATGGCTGAGCTTGATAGATACTTCCTTGGATAGGATAATGGCCACTGCTTGGACTGATCTCACTGGTCTATGAAAATCTAGAATTGATCAGTACAGTACGCCTCTTCATCCTGAAGCCATTCATCTTACAAAGAGCTATATGAGCACCAATGTATCAACAGACTGTAATATATTCTATGGATAGTGCAGGGAAGACACGTGAAGATACTTCAAGAATGCGAAAACCTCATTAGTATGTGACAGGTTTGTAGTTCTTCATTCAGAACAAACAGCATATGGTACAATACAAGATGGTCTATTCTCATCTTCACAAGGATTGTGCCTTGACTGCAGACTCTGAAGAGTAATGATCAAGTCATCTATTTAGAAGTTCCCGCTTTTGTCCACGGGATTCGAAGGCCGTCTCCGCTTCAGGCTTATAGTTTAGTTTTGGGTGAGTGGAATCACCTGCAGCTTTCCTAAAACTGAATTTTACTCACTTTTTTTTGCATATGTCTATCTGACTCCCTACCCCTCTTTCAGCAAATAAAAAAAAAAATGAGTCGGGTGGGGGGATCCTTTTTTTCAGTGGAGTGCAGCCAGCACTTCCACATTTCTGGCCTAGGCCAGAATGAATTCCACTCACCCAAAGTCTTCTAGGATGCCTACATCACAGATCCCAGGAGGTTTTGGGGCTGTGTGTAATCCAACACACATGTACAATGCAGAACCATCAGGAGGGCTGGCTGCTAGAATCTGGAAGAGACAACAGGCCTCCTGATAACATCACAAATAGGATGGTGGTGCCGGGCCCAGCGGTGCAGCAGCTTTCAGTGGATGAATGTGAGACAGCGCAGGATTCGCAGGGCAGGGATTCATATGCCATCTCATCTCACACCAGCAGACCAGGTAAAAAAACATGTTAACAGTAAAATTAAACCCATTGGAGTGCAGTTTCTCTTTAACTCTTTGTAAACCCCCCGAGAGAGCAGCTGTTCTTCCCATTTTAAAATGTCAACTGAAATCAACAGCTCCTGCAGGTCCTGTGGTTTCCGCCCAGTGTTTACATCGGAAGTGTAGAGACATCACCAGTGACACCATGACATCTCCTGTCTATAGGCAGGGGAAGAGCGGTTACAGGTCTGTCCAGCCTCTCCCTACAACCTGAGATCACTGCTATAGTAATCTATTGTTGGATTATTATAGAAGTGATATGTCGTTGCACAGCTACATGGGGTGTGATTTGATCTCCACTGACCTGACCACACCCTGCATAATGTAAAACAAAAAAATATACAATATATACTGTATTCAGCTAAAAATGACATATTCCCTTCAAATAGAATCCATGGCTCACAACAATGCTGTTGGATGATCTGGATGACATTTGCATTTACTGCACAAGCATTACATGCTCACGTAATTCATTTAATCTCTTTAAATTTTTTTGTAATAGCAAACCTGTGAAAAAGTCACCATAATTCTAATGTGTGCCCTTGGCAACCCGCCGTCATCTTATCTTTATATGATCACAGTGTATCACAGACTTTGTTGATTTTTTGGGGGGGTAGATTTATGAAAAACAAAAGTCTCTCACAGCGTCTGTTCAGTGAAATACCCCTACAGTCATGTGAAAATATCTCCTTCTTATTATGCAGTGTCCTTCCATGCGTGATTCTTATTTCCTCTTCTACTTGATACCCCTTTATATATTTAAAAAATGCCTTATAACAGGTTCCACAGACAGAACTCTTTCAATTAACAGCTTCCTCTTTCCGTCCTCCCCTTTCATAGGAGATATACCCTCCGGAGAAAGTTATATATAGTGTAATACCATCAATAACTCTATAAGGTGTCCTCTCATGCTCCACTCTTAAATCAATCGTGACCGCCAGCGACAAGTGATATATCACTCCACCACCTCACAGACCATGCACCTTACCAGACTAAGTCAGCCAAAAAGCATAGAGTAGAAACAGCTCTTCCCGATCAACAGTATTCCCAGTTTTCCAATGGTATGTAGATCAAAATGCATAAGCAAACAGTGTATTACATTTTTAAAAACAATTTATTCCAATAAAAACCGCTTACAAACAAAGCAGTGCACATCAGCATATATTCCTCATCAATACAGTGTTTGTGGGCTCTAGACCTTATCCAAGATGGCCGCTATGCAACTTCCGGGGTATGGTATACGGGGTAGATTTATGGGTTGCACAAATAACATTGTGTTGGGAAATATTACAGAAAACACAATAATTTGTAGGTTTTTTTTCTACTATTTATGCCCAAAAAAAAACAAATATATATACATACATACATACATACATATATACAGGTGAAACTCGAAAAATTAGAATATCGTGCAAAAGTTCATTTATTTCAGTATTGCAACTTAAAAGGTGAAACTAATATATGAGATAGACTCATTACATGCAAAGCAAGATAGTTCAAGCCGTGATTTGTCATAATTGTGATGATTATGGCTTACAGCTCATGAAAACCCCAAATCCACAATCTCAGAAAATTAGAATATTACATGCAATCAATAAAACAAGGATTGTACATAGAACAATATCGAGCCTCTGAAAAGTATAAGAATGCATATGTACTCAGTACTTGGTTTGGGCCCCTTTTGCAGCAATTACTGTCTCAATGCGGCGTGGCATGGAAGCTATCAGCCTGTGGCACTGCTGAGTTGTTATGGAAGACCAGGATTCTTCAATAGCGGCCTTCAGCTCTTCTGCATTGTTCGGTTTCATGTCTCTCATCTTTCTCTTGGCAATGCCTCATAGATTCTCTATGGGGTTCAGGTCAGGCGAGTTTGCTGGCCAATCAAACACAGTAATCCCACGGTCATTGAACCAGGTTTTGGTGCTTTTGGCAGTGTGGGCAGGTGCCAAGTCCTGCTGGAAAATGAAATCAGCATCCCCATAAAGCTCAAGGAGTGCTCCAAAATCTCCTGGTAGATGGCTGCATTGACCCTGGACTTAATGAAGCACAGTGGACCAACACCAGCAGATGACATGGCTCCCCAAATGAACACAGACTGTGGAAACTTCACACTGGACTTCAAGCATCTTGCAGTGTGTGCCTCT